TTGTGTAAGTCGGAATGGCGTGTCTCTGTCAAAAATGGCCCCATCGTACCCAGAACCAAGCTTGACATATATTTAAATGATATATCTGTATACCAAATTTCATTTCAACATGTTCAAACTCTGAGAGAAGAAAATGAACGGAAACGAGTGGTGGACCAATAGACAGACAGATCGACAGACAGACAGACAGAAGCAAAGTAATATGCCTTCCATTCTTCGAAGGGGGGACATAATTAAATTACAGGAGACATAAGAGAAAAATGAAAAAAATAATATTAAGTTGAATTGGACTTGGACACACCTGCATTGACATTTCGTTCACATTTTTTTCAATTTTATTCAAAATAATTCTCCAGTTTACATAAAATTTCTTTGAAAATCTATTTCCATATAATATTATAGATCACAACACTGCATATGCTTACGTCAGCAATCTTTAATTTTACCATGGACACACGCTTAGTTATTATTAAAATTTAAGTCAATTTGATAACGCTGCTGATATTATATTCAACTCAAAAACTGACAAAATTATGTATTAGTTATGCTTCTTTTCATTTGTATTCTGATATTTAAAATTGATGTTCTTAATTTATTTCATTTACACAAAAAGAAAATTTCTATTTAAAAAAAGGATAATTCCTTTCAGTTATGAAAATTATCCTGAAAAAAATTCTTAATCTATACCGATTTGAGATGCATATCAATAAGTACATGTAATATGTTAGCCTTCATAATTCTGCTATTACATAACTTCTAGGAAAACTTCTAATTGCTGTCTACGCCATTTTTACCAACGGCCATCTGATTTATATCACTTTTAACAAAAGACCCGTGGGCCACAAGCCTCCCTTGAGTAACTTTGGCATGTTGTTCTTTACCAGATTCACTCCTTTGTAATACCTATTGCAGCCCCAACGCATCTTCAGGGGTCAAAAAGTGAAGAACTGATAATTGGAACCTCATGATACTTCTTAATCAGTTTCAGCTATTTTGGTCCAGCGACTCTTGAGTAGAAAACTTTTAAAAAATCAAATATCTTTTAATGTAAAAGTTTAATTTTCCTATTGCTACCTAGTCCTATACCCAGTGATCATGATTTGAACAAATTTAAAATCTACACTACCCGAAGATTCAGTTTTTTCTTACCACCTTTCTTACAGTGTAAAAAGAAAATGTATATAGATTTTTACGAATACGAGGGTTGTCCCAAAATTCCGTAGACAAGCGTTGTTTTGTAGGAACCCTATGTCATACATTAATGAAACTTCGTATATAGATTAAACCAACACTATCTAATAAATTTATGGACAAATATGAAGTAACTACACAAATTATTCCAATTTAAAAGACACATTTCATTGTCTGGTGTAGGAGGGCGGCGCAATACCCAAATGTTGCAATTAAAATTTGGTATATTATATTTAAAATCCTACGGAACAGTAATTACTACCCGTATTTTTCTAATGGAAATAAAAATTCTTAATATTGTTTAATTAACTATATTTCCTTAAATTTTGGTGTTTATGCTTTGATAAATATGAATTTTATAACGTTTTATATACATGGGGTTGAAATCCAAATTTTTTAAAAATGGAGGCTGCGTTGGCCCAGGCGGCGCACTGGACTATAATCAAGTATTTTGATCCTGAATTCACTCTTACAGAAATGTACCAGTCATAAATGTTTGGTAGATTAGGAAACTTCTTCTCATCCTTTGTATTTAAAATGACTAAAACGGTTTCTCTATGTATATGTGCTAAAATAAAAGACAGGGCTAAGAAATGGGCAAGAGTTCGATAGTGCAACTCCATTAGAGAAAACAGACGCAAAGACAGAAGATATATAACGTTTTCAAATTATTATTATTTCATACCTGTACATGCATATACTTTGTTTACATATTTTAATAATTGATCATATCATAGTAATTAAGATATTTTAAATTTAAAACTATAACCGTTTCGTTTAATCTAAGAATTTGATTCTGGTAATTGAAATATTTTTTCCAAAAATGTGAACCGTTGTCATTTGTATTTTTTGACGTTGCAGATTGCTCCGGGTGTAAGAGAACGATATCACTTTCAATGTTATTACTCGAAAAGTTTTCAAGTAAACATGATAAAACTTCGTAATTTATCTACCAAGAACACGCTTTATCCACCCTAAAAATTTTATAAAGATACATTAATTTCTTTTAAAGATATGAGCCCAGTCTACGAAATTTTGGGACAACCCTCGTATATTTCAATGTAATACCCTATTTTGTCCCCGTCCTACCCCTGGGTATTCATGAATAATCTAGAATCTGCATTACCCCAGGATGCTTCCACATCAGTTTCAACTTTTTGCCAGGAGTTCTTGAGAAGATTTTTTAAAGAATATTGTACAATTATTGCATGATTGTGAGGGAAATATGAAGAACCAAAGAATATCATATTCCCCGAGGATGTCGACCGAGGGGAATATTATATTTCTTGGCTGAAGATATCTTCATGTTTCCCGAACATTTATGAATGAATTGTTTATTATACCGAAACAAGCAAACATGCTTAAATAAAGAAAAAATGTCATATTCGACACGGCTCTCTTATTCACCTTTATTTTTAACGTAAAATTACTAAGTCCCTTTGACACATCACACTCCGATCAAATAATCAGCATTCTGTAACGTGAACAGGCTAATGTGACGCCAACTACTCTCAGAAGTTTTCGTTCAACGACAGCATTTGTGGGAAAATGCAATTTTGGTTTCCAAAGAGGTGGAATATGATGAAAAGCGTGACAATTACCGTGAAATATGAACGTTTTATGGCCCGGTCACCAATCAGATAACGCGATGTATAGAATAATTATAATAAGGTATAATAATACCGTATTTTTCAATTTTAAACTAGCATTCTCTTCTCTGACCAAACCCTACCAACTGGGGTCAGGAAAAATTTAGAATCTTTACTACACGAGGATGCTTCCATATCAGTTTCAGCTTTTCAATGGTTCTTGAGAAGATTTTTGGAATCATTTCACCCTTTTTCTGCTCTCTTGATTATCTCCCCATTGAAGACTGCTTGGTCCTGTATTTTAACAATTCCAACTTCCCTTTATTCTTTAGCAGAAGTTGAAAATGCAATCAGGAAAGCTCATTTGAGCTTTCATCTCAGATGAACTAAAACGGTAAAAAGGTGTTTTGTACGTAATAATTCTTTTGGTCAATCTCTTAAATAATTCCGCAATGTAAATGGGAAAAGCTTCCTGTTGATATTGGCAATTTTATTTTTGTGTGTGTGTGTGTGTGTGTGTGTGTGTGTGTTTTTCACATATGAAGGTTTTTAGTTTTATGCAAAAAAGGAAACAAAATAGAATTTTAAGAATATAAATTGTGCAAACACAAAAATAAAAAAAGTGAACCTTTTCAATTACACAAAGCGTATGTGTACAGATTGATGTAAATTTTAGTGTTTGAATATTGAAGACTATGGTAAATGAGATTGGCTATGGATAGATTCTCAGTATTACATGTATTTATCGTAACAATGAGACAGATATTTTGCTATGGTAAGTTTTTAAATTTTCCTTCATGTGCATAAAATTATGTATCCGGTTTCATCATTATTTTGCTTAATATGAAACAATATACAATACTAGAGTTACTATGAGCAATAAGCTCACTAAATGATACCCCCGCCACCCATATGAATATAATGGCAGTGTCCATGTTTTGCTCTGGAAAATCCAAAATATATGTCAGATCAAAAAGTAAAATAAGAGGTGCACAATGGCAATATGTAATGAAGAATCTGTGAAAGTTTCATTAAATTTCCTTCAGTGGCATGAGATCTAGAGTAGTTGTGGATAAGAGATGGGTACCCCAAAGCGTAACATACGGACGGACGGACGGACATACCGATTACTATGTACCCTCCCGCTTTTCAAGCGGGGGTATAAAAAAGGTCCCCGTTTTGCAGGTTAGGATGAAGCAGTAAGTTACTCAAATACAATTAAAAATATAAAGTTTATGGGAAGGGAACAAAAATGTAGTACTCGTTGAAAGATTTTGACTTAGAAAAATAAATATGTAAGCCCCACCAGTTTTATTAATTGACAAGAGTAAAATTTTTAAAATGCAGGTAAAACTCCTGGCCATGTTAAAGGGGTCAGAGTGAGTAATGACTTAGGATATACATTCTCTTCAATATGATAACCAATGTGCGAACCATTTAGAAACAAATGACCAAATTTAAAAAAAAAAAAGATCTTCAGGATTTTGGAACACAAAGGATCATATAGGAAAAATACGTAATATGAAATTCCTATCTCCAAACATTTAACACTTATGTCCAACGGTTATTTTATTTGATCAAGGTCTAGGATGCTCCTTTACATGGTAAGGCTATATCACAAGTAATATAAATGTTAATTTCGTAAGATTTATCTCCGACAGCTTCAGTCCTTCTTTTACACTGTTCTAGTGTGTAATATGTCAAGGTCAAGGTCGAGGTCAAAATAACAAAACTGTTGGTGACTTTGTATTTTAATTGACACTGCCTTTATGTTTAAAAATTTAAGATTAAAAACCAGTGCCATTTACGAAAAATATTAATTGAAACCAGAATAAAACATCAATGGATTTACTTGAAATTGTCGCCAGATTTTGGCAAATCAATTGTACCGACTAATAAGGAGGTCAATAGCAAATCCCACAAAAATAACGTCCAAAAAACCGACTTATGGGCGGAGTGATTTATAGGCGAGTATATACGGTAGTTTATGTTTTTTTTATGTTTTGATTCAATCTACAAAGTCAATATCAGAAATATACCTATCAGAGAAAAGTTAAAATTCCAGGAAAGACTTATGTTGAATTTAGAAGCCTTATATTAATTTAGCTCTAAACGTAAAAGTAATGGCCAAGTCTAAAATGCTAAAAAGTCTCTAATATTCAGTTGATAGTTCTTGCTCTCACAGAAAACGAGACGTGTTTTGAAACACTGATGCACCCAATGGCAGCTGATGATGACGGTTGAATTTTCTTTGAAAAATGAAAGTTAAAGCTCCACCCATTCAAAATTTATGTTTAAGCTTAAGGATTTTGCAGACTAACAGACCTACAGACAGACGAATGGACAGGACAAAAGAATCTGCCCACGAAACTCTTACGGGGCATACAAATTTCACTTTATTTGTAAATTAGTAATTATGGACACAATTTGTAAATCTGAAAAGTTCATCAATATAACTGCTAAATGAACCATTAATTAAATGCCATTAAGAATACTGTTTGTAATACGTATAGTAAACCAAACAAGACTTAACCTTTTACTCTTTTTCAATGCCTTAACTATTTTCAAATAGATTAATTGAGAAAAGTATAGTCGTATTTATAAGCAATAATAAACAATTATTGTGCATATTTTTATAGTCAATCATGCATTATATACCCGAATATTTACAGACGAATTGGCAACAGGTCACAACGCAGAGCAGGGTACCGTTTGGGTTTGTTCTTCAAATCTAGAGTACTGTAATCTTAAATATGTAGCCAAGAATGCTGTAGATGGAGATAATAGCACATGTATGAGGGGCGAAAGGATTTACCGTTCTTCTGATTGGTGGCGAGTGGATCTAGGAGATATTCATAGTGTTTATAGTATACGAATTATATTCAGGAACTACAGCGAGCTTGGAGATTATGGTTTGTACTTCATTTGTAACTTTGAGTTATGTAAAAGATTTATAATAACCTGACAAATGAGAGCAGAATTCGTATTCCTCTGTCAATGTTATAGTGCTAAATTTAAGTGTTAAATGTTGAATGATTAGGAAACATTGGACCGAACTTAAACTTCTACGTTTTCACCTTACATTTTTTAAGTTATATAGAACAAATGCATACAATAAAAAATCTTTATTTCTTCAATTCGATGTTCTAAGTATCTCGTCAGAAGTTAAAGCAAAGTGTCAAGGATACATGATATATCCTCAAAATGAAAATTCACATAAAATAATCGCAATAGAATTAGACCAGCACTGCAAGAAATCCTTTTCCCATGAATATCAATGTACTCTTTGAATAGAAGGTTGACTTATCATGCCACATCTACAGCATTGATCTTTCTAAACCGTTAAAATTGTTTGGAGGGGGGGGGGGTGACATTCCTTTTAAATTTCCTTATGTTTCAGTCAGGATTTAGATTCGGGATTTTGCCCAGACCGGTGCTTCAAAAAAATACTTTTTGGTTAACATTTAAACTCTTTTGGGTCGTTTTGCAAGTACGTGTGCCTTTCTATGAATGATTCAGACTGTTTGAGATAATACTGGACTGCTTTGAGTTTGAAAACCAATTCAGTGCCATTTTTATACCACTGAAGGTGCTGATTGAAATGTTACTAAAGTATTTTAGGACCATATATAACAAACTTTTAACCTGGTTTTGACAAGAATCATTGGCCTCAGACGAAGATCTGGATCTAGGTCACATCCTTCTTGGTTAGATTTTGTCCAAAGCTTTAAAATCGTGATAGTTTGACAGTAAAGTATGAGGCAAGACCTATAGAAAAATGTGTTGAAATATATATTTTATACTTTTTATTTTTTTTGTATATCTTTCTTTGAATTATACAAGAATTTTCATCAATTGATATCTTATCAAAACGCCTCGTAATTCATGCTGATTTTTTTCCACGAACATCTGATGATACTATATTATTAAATTAAGAATACATTGAATAATCATCAGTAGGCAAAGTACGTTGCATATGTCCTGCAGCCTTAAACAGGCAGCCGTTTCAAATGAACACATGTAAGGCTATGACACATACCGATACCCTCATACACCCAAGGTACATGTATTACGTAATGGATGTAAGGTTAATTGCATCGGGATCTTTGTCAACTTAATTTCTAAATATGATTTTTACTATGTGATTCTCCTTTTAGTTGATCCCTTGTCGCGTGAGTGTGTCATACCAGTATACCAACGTTATTATCTAACGAAGTTATCCGGCATAGTTAATGAAAATTTACTTCATTTCACACCATATTTTTTTATAACTTACAATTTTAGTATTTAAGGTCAAGATCTAGTAAATGAAAGGTGCCTACAGATTTATCAAACTTGAGAAATAAATTCCTTTATTGATGTTTTACAACATTAACTTGGTCAGACAAGGTGTTTCGGGGCATAATTTGTAAGTAAACAAGATGAAAAACTGTATTTTAAACTGATATTTTCAATGAAAAATTAAGAAAACCAGTCATGAATATGGAAGTTTTTCTCTTATTCGACAAAGGAAATGTATCCAGATTGCCTACAGTCTCTCAGCAAACGGTAATTAGTATGTTCATGGTCTCTTCTTTAAATCAATATCAAATTTAATATAGGTATCCGGTTTACTTTTCATATGATTTCAAATTGAATGTCATAAAAACACCCTATTTTCTACATAATTCTGCTAAAGCTGGGTAAAGTACGGGAAAAAGAAAGTTGAAATTGGTTATGACGTCATAATGGATCTAGCACCAAAACAGAAGTCTAAAGTTATTTACTAGATCTTGACCTTAACATGTTCATCTCAATAGAAATGTATGATCTCTTCTAAATTTGAATATTTTTCTCGTTTATTTGTCAGGTTTATTCTTTATTTTGTTAAACAAACGTTCCTTTTTAGTTTTTGTTTCCTGACACAAGCTTTGATAAATTTCACATTTATATGTATTTTTTGTGTCTGTTCTATCACAATTATGTATTAAATATATATTTGCAGAATTGAGACAAAGGGGGCGTTTTGCAGGATTTTACCTGTTTTTAACAAATACCAAAAATTTAGTCGATGGAATTTTATGCTATAAAGACGGGCCTGAATTACCCCCATTAGACTTTAGTACAACTTGTATTGGATATGGTCGATTTTTCATATTTTACAACGAACGCTTTAGTGGGAAAATTTATCCAGAGGGATACACTGCTGATATTGTTAACGAACTCTGTGAGGTGAATGTCAAAGGTATTTTTATTTATTTCCGTCAATCTGCATGCTCATACTGATTTTTTTTATTTCTTTCGTTTTTGTGATATATTTTTTATGTAAATACATCAAATAAAACATTTTGAGTGTCAATATGAAGGAATTGTATTCTTTTGCAAGTAGGTTGTTTTAACTCAAATGTCTATGGTTCAGAATGCAATATTTCCTGCCCTGAGAATTGCCGCGAAAGCCGATGTCATATTGTGAATGGAACATGTTTCAATTGCAAGGCTGGGTGGATAGAAGATACCTGTAATAAACGTAACATTTGTTTTACTTTTAAAACCCTTCTACGAGGAATTGCTTTAGTGTCTTAAAGTGGGTTTGCTTTATTCTTTAAAGCGGATTTATTTTTTTTATGAAATATTATTTGTTAAACATGTATGATGCCTAATTGCAATTGTCAAAGCAAGCTTTTTATCATTTTCTTATTAAACTCGATAAATACTTTCCACAATTATGATGAAAGGAGTTTGTTAACTGTAAGCGGTCACGTAATAAGTGGACATAAAGTTAAGCACAATTTCCCTTCTCAATGGTTAGCTTTATCAAAAAAATTAGCAATTTTGTTGGAAAGTCTTTATTTATACAACATATACGAAAAATATGCTGTTAAAAAACTGTTTTAACGTGTAGGGATATGAAATGAACAAATAAATGATTACTTTATATTACATAAGCATGTTCTGCTGGATTTTACGGAGATGATTGCAAATACCAGTGCAAAGGACATTGCAAAGATAACCTTCCTTGTAACCACTCGACCGGAGAATGTGACGATGGTTGTGATAATGGGTGGTCAGGAGCTGACTGTAACGAATGTAAGAAGAATTAAATTAATTGATTATAAATATTATTCAAGATGATTATTTTCGTAATTTCCATTGGCTGAAAGGACGTCACGTGAAATACGTCGTGTTGCGATAAATACGCAAAAGTACGTTTGCGGCAAAAATCACTCGACTCAATGTTCGGCTGTAGCAACGTAGAGCGTAACATCATAATATGAAAAGCATGTTTAAACTATTATGACAGCCAAGTCTACTCAACTAGAACTGTGTCAGATTATTTCTTTTTGATTACTATCTAATATAACAATTATAGACTATTGTGGACAGTCAACATGTATTTATTTGGTTCCATGTCAAGGGCATTGATCTCAGACATATAAATTGATTGCATTTGTCATAGTGATATTGCAACTTTGCTATCAGTTTCTGTGTCTTCCGTCAATACATGGGTCATTGACGGTGGTCCTTATGAGTAAGTACAGAGGTAGTATGCCCCAAAATATTTTTTATCATTTTCAGTTTGTCCTCTCGGGACGTATGGTCCATATTGCTTAAACAACTGCAGTGGAAACTGCTGGAATGGGGCATTCTGTAACAGAGTGACAGGGAATTGCGATAGAGGATGTAGCCCAGGCTATATTGGAGAACGTTGCCAAGAAGGTACGAAATATTTCGTGTTTTTTTTTTAATAATCCATATTTCCTATATTCAACAATATAATACATGTAGTTTTAAAAAGCATTTGTTGTGATAAAGATGCCAAAGCTTTCAAATTTATGCATATTAAGTTGAAAGTTAATTTCACATTGCTTACAGAATGTTCACTTGGATATTATGGAAAAGACTGTTTAACCATCTGCACTGGTCACTGTGAGAACAATGGAACTTGTCATCATGTTGATGGAATCTGTCTTAATGGATGTGAAGATGGATACTTTGGAAAACACTGTAACAAAAGTTCGTACAATATTTTAGTAAAAATGATGTCCTCACTATCACTTTACGCTACTATGAAAGAAATATCATTTGTGCATTTCTTTATAATTATAGCTTGCCCTGTCGGTTTCTTCAGTAGAAATTGCTCTAATATGTGTTCAAAAAACTGCATAGATGTATGCAGATATAAAGATGGTGTATGTTCCTGTGCTCCTGGTTGGAAAGATACACCTAACTGCAGCACAGGTGACAAAAAATATCTCTCTACCAGTCATGAACATAAACTTTTTGTTATCACCTTGTTTTATAAATTATTTTAATATATATGTTTTTCTGTAAAATGCTATTTTTAGAGTTGCTTATTATTTTCCACTCGTATCCCAAAAAGAAAACCACATGCCAACAAAAAGTTGCCGGTTTTTATCTTTCTTGTACATTGTACATTAAGGTATGAGCGAAAAAGCCGATTGTTTGCACAAAAGGTACGATTTTAAATTTTTTTTAGAATGCTTACCTGGAAAATATGGAATTAACTGCCTATACAAATGTAGTGGTCATTGTAAACATGGCGATATTTGCAGTAGATTTGACGGACACTGTCCTATGGGATGTATGGACCCATTTTTAGGACTAATCTGTGACACTGAGCGTAAATATGAAGGTACAAGTTCACCAAGGGGCTTATTAGCCCTTTGAATTCTTAGAAATTAAAAGTTTAGAGATTTTTGTTAAACATACATTTACCGTGTACTTGGAACTTTGACGGAATATCTATTAAAAGTGACACACTTCATGTATTAATTATGACTACCCTGAAATGTGTCGTTTTCCTCAAATCTGGAAAATTTCTTCACAAATAACAAATGATTTCATTTTTTTCAATTATTGACATAGGTCCAAACTTATAAGCTTAAACATTGAAAGTACTTTTTCAGAAGATTATATTCCTTTTTATTTTAGATGATGATGGCTTATATTGTAATTATTTACCTCAAAAATTGTATTAATTTTCTTTAACGTTAAAGAAATTTGCAATTTGACAGGCTGTTTGTTAATAAATGGATTCAAGAGGAAACTTTAAAAGTGATTTTTTTTTCCTACTTTATTTTGATGTTTGAAATGAGGCATAAAAACTTGGGTCTTTATCAGTTAATTGGTATATACACAACTCCATATTATGGATAGAATGAACATACATTTTGCAGCACTTACATGTATATATATTAGGATTTTTTGGCAATTTAGAGGTATATTTATGTATTTGAAGAAATAACGTTTTTCGTTAAAGGTACGTCTTCAACATGCGCATCAGGGACGGGGCTTGCTATTTCTATTGCTTTGAACGTCACAGGAATTATAGCATTTGCTACATTGTTTATTTTCAAAACATCATGCATGTAAGTAAAGTATACAGACTATAATGAGTTATACAGGATGATATCTTTAAATACAGTAAAATACTGAAATAAACATTTATGTTTATATAATGCTTGTCTTACATCACATTATAATTTTGGTAATTAATTTTTTTTTAAGACTAAGATTGCAGAAATTGAACAACATCAGAGAGAAGAAAACAGTTGCTGCTAATATCAATTTTAGAAATCATAGTGAAAATAGTACTTATAACGATCAGGATCAGTATGAAGAAGTACATGAACAAGAAGACAAGAGTCCATATGAATGTCTTCCGCCGATATGAAAAATGTATGAATGTCATATGTCTATTATATTGACATGTAACATATATTATGCATTTTACAAAAATAACGAAAAAACTTGAGTGATTTGTAAATAAAGATGCAACGGTGTTCACACTTTTTAATTAATATTCTTATAACATGTTAAAATCAATTAAGCATATAATTGAAAAGATTTTAAATCCAAAAATTTACCTTTAGTGGTTATTTTTACATGCATTTCTGCTTTAGTACTGTATTAAATTTTCATTTTATAAATGTAAATTTGTAAAAGAAAATTCAAAATAATTTTGCAATGTAATGAAATATTCTCATATTTTAAGTTCAAATGTCTCTTGATATATGCAAAATGATAAATATGATATGAAGATAATTGTCACATAGTAAAACTATTCTGTAATGCGTTTTACATTTTGTTTTAATTTAAATAGTTTTCGCCATCTTCACATATTAATTTAAAATGTTTCATTTGATTCTAAAAATTGTAAAGTTTGCTCTTAAAAGTCAAATCTAGAATACGAAAGAAACAATTTATTTTTAAAAAAGGCGATATTACCGTTTTTCTCTCTTTTTTAGGGCAATAAAAATGCACTCATGTATGTGGGGATTTAGCGTTTGTGTTTTATGGTATAATGAAACAGATTCATCTACGCAACAAAATGTAGAATTCATATTCATGATAATTACAACATGTACATTCACATATTTCTTCAGTCAGGAAATCAATACCAAAAAAACAAAACAAAACAATTTCTCACCAAGAAACCAAGAAATTTCAACCAAATGAAAGTCATTGATTTTACAGTAATCAGGGTGAGGTATCTACAGAAATCTGTTTATGTTCTCCAGTTTAATTTTACTAGTTCACTGAAGCTAGTTTTTATTTTTTCATACCTATAACCTTATGTAAACCATATTTCATCAATATTAAAGTGATATAAACATTAAGTTTGATGGATGAATTTGTCATTTATTATACATGTATAAATGACGAAAGATAATCAAAAGATACTTCAGATAAAGGGAAGATAACCCTTGAAAAAAATGTACATTTGTACAAAACATTATTTGATCTCCCCACTGTGACATATTACATCAAGGAAATCCAAATAAACAATCCAGAATCTAAAAAAATATAACAATCAAAAAAAGGTGGCTGACAAAACCTGCCAAAGTACAAGCATGCAATGTGTGTATCTACTGCCACCAGTTATCTACAAAAATCGGTATGTTTACTTTGCTCATTTGACACAAGATAAAAATATTGGGTCGGTAGATATACTTAATTGTAAGTTTTTTTCCGAACCACCTAACAACTGATTGAATAAAAATGTATAATGTAGGTTAAAATAAAATTTGAGTCGGGACAGTTTTAAGTCAGTCGATCGGTAGAGAACAAACAAACATATTTTAAAAAGATGGTCTGATCTGGAACTAATATCCAGTCTGCTGAGGGGAGATTGGGTATGGTTAAAAGAGCACAAAGCTTAAGGATGACGTTTCCTCAGATGACAAAAAAATCCACTGATAAGATAAAAAAAAAACACTTATGATTCTTGAGTTATATTTCAATTTCAAACTAGGTGATTGGCCAATTTTTTTTTAAGATGGTCCTGAGTATTTCTCAGTTAATACCTAGTTTTTGCACTCTATGACTAGTATTTTCTTTACTCACAAAACATTACAAGCGGAGACTCTTTAAATAATAAAATATAATAAGAGAACAGTGTTGCTTTGTAAAATTAAACAAGGAACGTTAGAGCAATAAACTACTCAGTATTTAATTAAAACAGTTCGAATTACCTCTTTCTTTTCCCCCTACTTTAAATCTAATTATAAAAAAAAATCTGAGTGACAAGAACTTAAAATCATTTATTTACAGTTCTGACTTTTTTCTTTCATATTTTTTTCAACTATAAAATATCAAATTTTATTATTGATATTGAGTTAAAATCGTTCAAAACAAGATTTGATATCACATATTGTATATTATAAATTCTTCATCATTTTGAGTATACAATGCAATTTGCTTAAAATTAACGTGATTCCAAGTGACAAATAAGTGCGTGAAGACATGTTCACACTGTCAGTCTTATCATTGAACACATGCCAAGAAATGTTAGCCATTCTAGCCGTAGTACTCTAAATATAAGTTTCTGTTAAACGTCGACTTTTTTGTTAGACTAAATGATTAATATTGTACATGTACCCAAACTTACGAACCGGTATTCGGAGCCTATTATTTTTCGGTGTTATAAAAAATTATAAAACCCAAAGAGGTCCAAGTAGATCTGACAGTAGCTCTGGTGGATTCTGTGAGACATTGAGATAATATTACTTAACCGAGTTTAATCAAAGGTGTACGGGGATTTACCATGGGTTTTATTCCATACACCCTTGACTGAACCTGAATAACAAATTTATTTTCTATGTACCAAAAGTACAAAGAAGACGAGAGGCAATCAGTCTATACTTATTTTCTTATTTCCATTAACAAGCAATTCATTTGTAATATAAACGTGGAATAGTTTTTGTTCTTCAGTCAACACAATATTACAAGGCGAATTTCAAATGATTCCTTTGAATACCATTGTCATCTAGGTTTCCTGGCCAAAACGTCCGATTACGTGTATTGTTTTGTAAAAAAAAATATTTATCCTTTGAAATGCAATAGGACCGGTGCACATGGTAAGGATTACATTATAAGTCTAAAGCTTACCTTTTGCAGGACGCACGGTTCTCATGTCAACACTCTATAACTAACGCAAGAATTACAGGATTATAAAAAACAACTTCCACATAAATGCCCTGTGTTTAAGAGCGCATTATTTAAACGGAATATCAGATTTTCTAGCTAATACTTTGAAATAATTTTACCCTTCAGTACAGTCACACGTCTATAAAAATATGGAGAAAAGTATTTGTGGGCATTTCCATTATCTCATTCTTATATTCATTCATTTGTAATTTGCGTTCCCTTAATTTTACCCATGTGTATGGATTTAAAAAATGGATATTTTTCTGGGAATGATTTTAATTTGTTGAAACGAAACTCTCAGCTAAGCCCTGAATTAAGAAATAGAGCAGTGCTCTTTTCCTAAGCCAGGTTTGTAAGGCTTAAAACACGTGTAATAAAAGATTTCACAGGGTAAGACTAGAAATGAAGTCCCATGACTTATAAGACATGTCTTCCCCTGTATATCTTTTCTATGAGATGATGTTTGTTTAATTTTTTTTTACCCTATAAGGACAGATGATATAAACAATTTTTTTTTCTTTGAAAGAGATTTAATATAATATCACAAGTTTAGAAATGTGGATGGTTCTCAGAATTTATTCTCCTAAGAACTGGAATATGAAAAAAGACTTGGAAAATATTAGTAATATTTCAATGAAAAAACAATATAGACAAATCACATTCAGTAAAGGATTACATGTGAAAACACTTTTCAGAATATGTTAACATGGAGTTAAAAGTGTAATATAAACTTAAGAAAAATATACCAAGCCAGGTGATTTTATTAGCAAAAGCTAAATGGTAAAAATCAGCCAATGTGATATTGCTATTTTTTTTTTTTTTTTTTTTTTGTTATTTTGATCTCCCTCTTAAAATTCACCCGGCTTGGTATATTTTTCTAAGGTTTATATTACACTATTAGCGCCAAAATAACATATTCTGAGATTTATTTTCACAAGTAAACCTTAACTGGATGTAATTTGTCTATATTTGTTTTTTTTTGTGAAATATTACTAATATTTTCCAAGTCTATTTCATTTTCCAGTTCTTTGGAGAAAAAATTCAGAGAACCATCCACTTTTCTAAACTTGCGACATGATATTAAATCTTTTTCAAAGAAAAGAATTGTTTGTATCATCTGTCCTTAAGCACTGATGTTCTGAAATTGTCACAGACTACATTTTGAACATACTTGCACAATGAAGCGCATTGCAATTTTATTTTTTTTTTTTGGTTTTATATAAGTGGGGACTCTACAAATCTCTCATAAAATGAAAAATCTCTATTTCAGTGCAACTTATGTTGCTATTCGTGAAGAGTGGGATGTCCTAAAGCATGAGGACAAATATTTTTCTATCGTTTCTAAAGAAATAGACATGCAATGCCATGCATTATGTAACAATTTACGTTCTATCGAATACACCCTAATTTTCCAATCAAAAAAGGTTTGACCCTTCAATGCGCTTTATTGTATTAGAAATAAAAACGCCCAAGCCATCTTTCATAGATTCTTCTCTTTTAAAGTATTTTACAATTTTTTAAATATGATTTTATTTTTAGCAGTCCATTCAATATTGATCATAGATTGACGTGATTCACGTGTTTGAAGTCAAATATAAACGTAAGATCTGAAACAATTTTAAAAATACGTGACTATAATTATAGTTTTATTGTTAAACTTCTTCTATACTATTTAAACAAAGGTGTATAAGAACAAATTATTTACCTTTTTACTCCACCCAAGATAATTTCCTTGAGTCTATATTCGTTTTCAATTTCTTCCCCAGTTTAACTTAAAAGACTTCCTCATTTATTATTTAAGATAATCTTAACGAACAAATCATCATTTTTTTTCTATCCAAAGAAAGGTTTTGGTTTGTAAGTACTGTTTGTTAGATCATGTTCAATACTTTCTTTGTAGTAATGTATATTAATGAGAACAACGTTTGATTTTCCTCATTCTGTGAAAAAATTGCCTAAAGATTTTCATTCACGCGTGCTTTAGTTGTAAAAATAAGTTTATACAAACTACTAGATGTTTCTAGCTCCCCAGAAACGCTGTGATTTTACTGACTTGTACTTTTATTTATGACTTTGCATCAATATGATTTTTTTTTATCACAAACCAGTAAAAAAGTTCCTAATGACAATAATAAGTTGATGCAACTAAGAAAATTGGAGATTTTATTAACAAAAAATAATAAAATAGTTCCAATAAAACGCATATTACTTATTACCGTATATACTCGCCTATAAGTCGGTTTTTTGAGAGTCGATCTCTGGTCCAAAACTCTGTGTCCGACTTATAGGCGAGCTATAAAATGAATGGTATTGTATGAAGTCAGTCTCTATGATACAAGCTTATTAAATACAACCGACTTATAGGCGGACCGACTTTTTGGCGAGTATATATGGTAACTGAGAATTGTTGAAGAACCTGTTTTACTGAGTTTTGATACCATTGATTCAGCACTAGGAAGCCTTTTAAAGTCAAATTCTTTGTATTAAAATCCAGTATGTAAGTCTACCGTACATGTATAATTATTGTTATTTCAGAAATAATAGGACTAAATAAAAATCACTTATGTTATTGCAAACTAATTTTGAGCAATATGTTTGTGCATGGTATATATATATAACAACATCTGATTTTAAAATAATTCATTTTTATTTTAAAAAAAAGTTATTGCATTGCATTTCTTTTTACAATATGTTCCTAGAGGTAACTTAAGTGACTTTGAGTTAATTATGGTAAATTAAAGTTAACTAATTATTTTTTATTAATTGAATACTAATTGATTTATGAAGAAAATAACAATTAAAATCCAAACCACGAAAGATGTTATAAACGTCCGCCATACTTAAATGTCTTTCTTGCCATATTGATGTTGCTTATGTAATGAATGTTGCAAAACAATACTCTAAAAACTATGATCAAATTAATGATTTTGCTGTCTGGATTTATAGAACATTTGGGTATGGTATGTTCTTTAATTTATTTCTAACTTTTCTGATATTCATTTTAACTTAACTGATGTTCGATATAATATAAAGAGTTTTTTTAATTTGAAAAACTGTAAACGTTGAAAAAAAATTCTGAAAGACATTCCAGCACTCTTTTTTGTAAACTTTTATTGAATAAAAAAAACGTTTTAAAACAGCGAAATTTCCATTAATCCTATCTCAGATTTTACTGACAATGATTTATTTCTTTGCCTGCATTGTAATAAGCCTTCAAGAGTTTTGACAAATAATCATTTGATTAATATTTAACTGATTTAATAACATGTATTGTATATATAATATTGCATTTTAGACATGTTTTCATAATGCATACGGAATTATTAGAAAAATCAATACATCTACCTTAAAACAAGAGGCCAATGGGCCACATCGCTAACCTGAGAAGCTTTGACCATTCTGTTCTTTACCAGATTTCCCCTTTGTAATACATATTGTGACCCCACCCTACCCCAAAGATCATAATTTAAACAATTTGAAATCTACACTACCCCAGTATGCTTCCACATAAGTTTCAGCTTTTCTGGACCAGTGGTTCTTGAGAAAAGAATTTTCAAAGATTTTTCCTATATACTCCTATATAAAACTTTGATGGGTACTTGTGGGCCACCCTACAACCGGGGGTCATCATGATCAGAACAATTTAGAATCTACACTACCCCAGGATGCTTCCACATAAGTTTCAGCTTATCCGACCCAGTGGTTCTTGAGAAGAAGATTTTCAAAGATTTTTCCTATATATTTCTATGTAAGACTTTGATTCCCTATTGTGGCCCCGCCCAACCCCCGGGGGTCATGATTTGAACAATTTAGATTCTACACTACCACACCATGCTTCAACATAAGTTTTAGCTTTTCTGGCCCAGTGGTTCTTGAGAATAAGATTTTCGAAGATTTTTCCGATATATTTCTATGTAAAACTTTGATTCCCCATTGTGGCCCTGCCCTATCCCCGGGGGTCATGATTTGAACAATTTAGAATCTACACTACGCCAGGATGCTTCCACATAAGTTTCAGCTTTAGTTGAGCAGTGGTTCTTGAGAATAAGATTTTTTAATGACCCAACCCTATTTTTATCTTTTCTTAATTATCTCCTCTTTTAAGGAGACATGGCCCTTCATTTTAACAATTTGTATTCCCCTTCACCCAAGGATGCTTTGTACCAAGTTTGGTCAAAATTGGTTCAGTGGTTCTTGAGAAGAAATCGAAAATGTGAAAAGTTTACAGACGGACAGACAGACAGACAGACAGACAGACAGACAGACAGACAGACAGACAGACAGACAGACAGACGGACAGACGGACGGACGGACGACGGACAAAATGTGATCAGAAAAGTTTACTTGAGCCTTTGGCTCAGGTGAGCTAAAAACCACGACATCTTTGTCAATTTTCTGTATTTTATCTTTAGGAAAGCAATTACACAGATCAAAGCTTTTAAAAAGATAACTAATTTAAATAAAAAAAAAAATTTCCTTTTAAGATGATTTGTCAAATGGAAAACCTTCCAGCCAGACATTAACGTTTCCATGCCCTACATCATTATGTGGAAGTCGCTATATTGCAAGTAACGCAGTTGACAGAAATACTTCAACATGTACACTTAGCAATTCAATAGGAGGGTCCTCCCCAGACACGAGTGTGTGGTGGAGAGTTGATTTTGGAGATATCTATAGTATTCACAGTGTCAGGATACAGTTCAAGGATTATGGCCAAAATACATGTAACAATTTATTATTTTCTACCTTGAAGTTAATTTTTCATTATTAAAAAATTATAGATTGTTGCAGAAAAATATTTTGTTTCGTTTTTATATATATATTTTTTCTTGATACAGATGTAAAAAAGTTATTTTCTATTTATAATAATACAACAACAAAAAAGGGTTTGTGAAGGCATAAATAATTTTCTTGACATACAATGAGCTAAAATATGACATGTGTGTTAAATAAAAGCACAATAAGTATAGGTTGAATGAAGATTATATACTTTTGTCATCACCGAGTTAAAGTTAATACGGTGTTCCTTGCTCTAGGAGAATGATATACGAGTATTGTTATATGCAATTAGCATGAAAGCTAACTTTATAAAACATATTTCCTATTTCAAGTAATGAGACAGAAAGGAAGATTTGCAGGATTTTCCATTTATCTTTCAAACTCGACAAGAAGAGAAGATTGGATTCTATGTTACAAGGACGGACCAGAGTTACCTCCTTTGGATTTTAATACAACCTGCATAAAATATGGACGATACGTCATTTATTATAATGAAAGACTGAAGGGCGTTACTTATCCTGATGCTTACGAATCTGTGGTCTATACAACGTTGTGTGAAGTGTTAGTGCATGGTCAGAATCTTTCTGCTTGTTTATATTCCTTATCTTTTGCTCTCGAAGGAAATGCAGGTGAAATTCAGTTAAATTTTGTTCTATAAGGGACACTAAAATCGAATTAAATGTATTAAAATTTGGATAAATTCAATATACGGTTTGCATTTCAGTTTCTGAATCAATTTTTAAGATATATCACGGTGTCTTTGTTTAAAAAAAGTCCGACGTAACTGTTATATTCTTCAACTTAAGCTTCCCTGAAAAAAATATAAATAAACACCTAAATATTATTTGAATGCCAAATTAAAATCAATTATTAAAATCAATTTACTTATAACATTCCTGAATAAACTAAAGCTCAATTTATCATCTTTATTCAGGTTGTACTAAAAGTGGAGTTTATGGAGTAAATTGTGACAAAGTCTGTCCAATCAACTGTCAAGAACAGAGATGCAACGTAGTTAATGGTAGTTGTCTGGGATGTAGGCCAGGATGGACCGGGGACAAGTGTGATCAATGTAAGACTGTAAATCTTTAAAATTGTCTTTGACAGTAATCGTTTAAATAGTGGCCCTCAAAGTTTCTATGGATTAAAATATGTCAATTTTTTGGTCAAGCGCATTTTCATTTTCATGCGTACTATGTATTGAAATTAATTTGGTGATTAAAGATTATCAAATTTTAGGACAGTTTTTGATCATATCTGATTACACCACACTTAATATTCATCCTAATCAGTTACAATCAGGTGGATGTGTTATCACAAGATATCATCAAATCATTTAGACATTGATAATTTTTGACACGTCACATTTTAATTAAATATGAAAAAGCTTGATATTTCAATTTTGTATGACTTTGTATAAAGCATGCCCTACTGGACGGTATGGTATTGGTTGTAACAGAAAATGTGTTGGGCACTGCACAAACAAAGTCACCTGCAATCGTGAGTTCGGTCATTGTGTTAACGGCTGTGCCTCGGGATGGATGGGGGACATGTGTGATAAAGGTATTGAATTTGCTTAGTTTTTTTTTTATTTCTTCACCTGTGTTATGTCTTCAGATAAGGCCATCTTTAAAAGAATCTTTTCTTGCCCTCTCCCGATTTGGGTTAAAATACTGGGTGGGTAGGTAGGTAAAGAAATCTTTTTCCGTAAAAATTTCGACATATTTGTAGATGAATTAATAATGTGATAAAAAGATAAAAGTGTGTACATGAATGTAAAAACAAAATATTGAGTCGGGCAATATAATCACTCAGGCAGGAGAAGGCAACCAAACATTTTTTTGAAAAGGTGGTCATTGTGTATTTTTTATTAATAATATGAATGGTAAATGTTAAGAAAACGTACACAATTTAATGTATCGGCCAAATTTTTCAATTAAACTAATAAGTGCAACCTTGTCGTTATTTTTAGGAAAGACAGAATATCAAAGTCTAAAGGAAATTAGCACCTCTAAGAATGTGCACTCAGAATCTTCAATCAAAGCGAGTTTTTGCATTCTACTTATGGTCAAAAAACGATATATATATTTTTTTTGGTTTCCCACTTGCACATGTTACATGGACCAGTTAATTTTGGTCATGGTTAAGAAACAATTAAGTATCAAATATCATTATGAAATATTTTACATGTTATCCACATGTTTTATCTGTATGAAGCCCAGTAATTGAGCATATTATACTTACTTTCCACAGTCTTATATGTAAATTAAATATTAACAAGTGGACAGTAGTACAGAAAACTTTTTTTTGCATGGGACCACAAATTCCACTTTTCATTTCAATAGATAAATTAACTATTTGTCTGTTACATATCTTTTTTTACTATATGCTTTGTAGCGTACTCGAAAAAAAATTGTTTATTTGCAAATAAAATTGATTGAAAAACAAATACATTTAAACAAATATCAAATACATGTAATAAATTTAACAGAATTATTATGTGGATGGTCAAAGGCGATCGAATCTATATACGACCATATGTTTACTTATTTTGCTAATCATGAACATTGAAAAAAAATCATAACATCAGTGAATATTTGATTGATTGATTGATTGTATGCTGTTTAACGTCCCTCTCCAGAATATTTCACTGATATGGAGACGTCACCATTGCCGGTGAAGGGCTGCAAATTTTGGCCTATGCTCGGCACTCAGGGCCTTTGAGCAGGGAGGGATCTTTATCGTGCCACAACTGCTGTGACACGGGGCCTCGGTTTATACGGTCTCATCCGAAGGACCGCCACATTTAGTCGCCTTTTACGACAAGCAAGGGGGTACTGAGGACCTATTCTAATCCGGATCCCCACGGGGTATGACTATTTGAAGTATCGCGATTCTTCAACTCTGTTTTCAATTCCTCTTTAGCATCCGACCCTTGTATTTTTTTTCAACGTGTTATTTTTTCATGCACAACATTGTTAACAGCAGCGCCACATTTGTACTATGCAAAAATACTAACTTTAACAAAGTGTAGTCTCCTTCTCTGTTGCACCCATTTGTTTGTTATAGTCCGACTTGATTCAGAAAAGAACGAATAACAATATTAAACTATTTATCTTTTTTCCAAAAGATCATATAATTATTTCAAATAAATAGGATTGTTTATATAATTGCTTAATGTTACTGTAAGTATTTCCTGTAATAAATATGTGTATAACATTACCTGCTAGTGGTTTAAATCTAAACAATGTCAAAAATGAGATGAAAATAAATATGCATCTTGATTGTAATAAATTACCTGAGAGAAAGTGTTTAAAATCTAATTAGCTTGTAAAGATGGAACCTATGGTCCTGGTTGTATGTATAACTGCAGCAGTCATTGTCTCAATGACGTCTCCTGTAATAAACAAACTGAACAATGTGATTTTGGTTGCAAACTGGGATACATGGGGAGTTTATGTAACACAGGTATAGTATAAAACAAATGCAGCACCATAATTATTATTCCTTGTTTAAAACTCATAATAAAGAACTGAACAAAGAAAAAAAAATAGTGTTTTTCAAAAAGAAAAAAAAAAAATTTATAGAATGCGCCTCAGGATACTTCGGGAACCAATGCAAAGAACTCTGTAGCCAAAACTGTTTGAATAACGAGATATGTGATTACATAGATGGAGTTTGTACAAATGGCTGCAAACATGGATATATAGGGGAAAGATGCTACAAATTTATGTGAACATTATATAACATTGATCTTAGACTTTGAGACATTTCTTAGATTCGAGATTACAGAAATGTAGAAGTCATCACAACTTAGCTTCAATATATTTTACTCTGGCTTCAACTTTTTTATGGTAATGTCTAATTAGTCAACGGATTATACCTTTCAGATGTAAAGCTGATTCAAAATCAATTCTTTAATCTACTCTCCTGGACATATTAAACATAAGATTAATACAATTGAATCAATATATGTGATAAATTAAGTCAGACATTGGATTTTCTAAAAAAAATACTTTAAAATATATTTTTTTAAAAACTTGTTACAGAGATTTTTTTTCCTCCTCACTAAATCATAGTATTGAAAAACCAGGTATATATGTATATTGTGCTATCTTGTAACAGTTTCGATATCAATTTCAGCCTGTCAGCTTGGATATTTTGGAAGAAATTGCTCTGGTGTTTGCTCTAAGAGATGTATTAGTACATGTAATTTCACAGATGGCTCTTGTGACTGTGCCCCTGGCTGGAGAGAATCAAACTGCAGTGAAGGTATGCACTGTACATTATACAGTGTAAGCTCAATACTTCTTTAACTATTTCATTCATGCTAATTGTTAAACATTTTATAATTATCCATGTCAGCAAAGATGTCATTTCCAAGTGATTAATGCTAAATCTGTTTTTTTATTTTAATCTGGGTGAGCTTTTATCACAATGAATCGTAAAATCAGGTTATAAAAGTACTCAAATCTATCAAGACAGAATGTATTCCTGGAACATTTGGAGTGAGTTGTCAACACAGATGCAGTGGTAACTGTATTGCGAATGAAACATGCAGTAGATTTGACGGTAGCTGCCCGAAAGGCTGCAAACCCCCATATGGTGGATTGACATGCGATCATAATGGCTAGTAACATTAAGCAAATCATCAATGTTTTGAAATTTATTATAAAGATTAAAACATTTTAAAATTGGGACGAGGGGACTTCAGTATTTTAAATGCTAGCAAAAAGGTATGTTCGGTTATGACCGATATTTGCCCCCAAATCAAAATTTTGACGGAGAAGTATATATACTGAAAGGAAAAATAACTACAGGGTAAACCTTTAGGGTGAAATAATGTTATTTTTCTTATGCAACTACTTCTCATCTCTAACGTTTAAATTCACCTTCAGTGAAAATGTAACCAAAATACTATCTGATTTTGCCACATAATTTATGACTTATTGAAACTCATATGACAATGCCTCCAAAAGTGAAAAATGAAAATTCTCACTATTTTCAATTATCTCCTCATTATCTTCAATGTCGCTTTCGCGCATGTTTCTCAGCCTTTATTCTCCTTTGCATGGAGTTCATCAGTGTGTTTATCCCCCAAACAGGAATATTCAACCCTTTCAACAAGACAGCTCTAAGTTGAAAGAGATCACCTCGGATGGACTTTACGGCCGAAATCGAATGGGTAAATGTGATAGATTGCTAGAAAGTTTTGATAAACCCAGGCTCATTGGGCCGGGGATAAAACGTTGAAAAATAGGCAAACTGTGTGCACATGCGCAAGTAAGAGGAACTACGTGACAAAATAAAATTGACCAGCTCAGAAGTCCAAATCGCGCAATTCGTTTCTCTAATTTATTGGTGAATGTAATGATTATGATAGCCTTCTCTGTTAGCGGTAATTTTGTAGTATTATATGATGGCGATTAAACAGGTGGCATGATGAATATTCCGATCATGAGGTGGCTCTATTACGTGTCAACATCATCGTCATGTTTCTTTATAAATCATTCAAGGCCATCTGTGACGACAGTTAAGACGTTTCATGGGGAAATTTACGAGCGACATCAATCCGTTGTCTTTACTTAATTAGTAAGTAAGTGCTCCACTCCCTGAACTGTTGTAAGATTGCAAGAAACGCATATCTTCTAAAACTACTGAAAACAACGATTACACTTCAAATCCATTGACTGTCACAAGAAGTCCGTTGACAAAAACTTCTAGTCATCAAATTTTTGTTTTTGTTTCCAGGGTGAATTTTTATTTGAGGTGTATCTTTTCAAAATTCACTTATTCCAATTCACTTATACATCAAAATACTGTAAACCAACTTTCATTCGCGACAACTTTATTTCGCGATTCACCGGGATTAAACTACTTCGCGACGATTTATTTTCGCGATCAAGCCGTTTTGGGAAATGTTTTCTTCAATAGACAAAGAGACTTTAAGGACCTGTTGGCGGCGAGAAATATTCGCGATGATGGGGCTCTCGCGAACCTCGCGAAAATTTCTCGCACGCGAATAAAAGTTGGTTTACAGTATAATTTAAATTTGTAGATAAATTAAATTTTAATTATTGCATAAAATGGTCATACATGAAAATTTACTGTAAACAAACTTTTATTTGTGACGAATTTATTTCGCGATTTACAGGGGATAAACTAGTTAATGACGATTAATTTTTGCGATCAATCTTTTTTGGACCTGTTGTTGATAGTCACATAGACTTTAAGGACCGGTTCGCAGCAAGATTTATTTCCAATAACGGGGCTCTCGCGAAAATTTTCGCACGCGAATAAAGTTGGTTTGAAGTAATTAACATATAATAATTTTCTAATCTTATAAATAACTTTTGCAGTGTATTGTACTTAATGGAAATATTAACTGTACGATTCATGTAACTTTTTCATTTGTATTTGCAGCTCTAATGGGTTCCCTCTCTGTCGATTATAAAAAAGATTATAATGGAATAACAATAGGCCTTTCAGTTTCACTTACTGTGAATTTCATAGCTTGTGCTGTAATTATATTTCTGTTGAGGTAAAGTATACCTATTATTAGGTCAAATTATGAAAAAGTCAAAAGACGAGCAATTTACCTGTTACCTTTAACTCCAAGAATTTTCAGGAAAAAATAAAAAAAAATTATACTTAAGATATTTATAACAAAATCTTATTCTAATTATCCAATACTGTACATAACTTAGTTTTTGTGAGTAATTATTAGCGTCAAATAGCGAACAGATTAAATTGCAAATGAACGATTGATCAATATAATTTACATGGATTTCAGCATCATAAAAATAAAAGGAAGTAATTCTTTTATTTGTCATGTTTCTTTTAAAATTTACAGTAATACTTACTCGAACGATTGTTTTACTGTTTTAGTGGACGGATTTTGCAAAACATCAGAACCAAAAATAAGGCACATTCTTGTAAAAATGCTGCTCAGAGTACAGAAGGTATTGGAGGAGTGTTGGAGGAGAAAAACAACTATCAGGAAATATTGGTCTGTGCTGATAACAATGAATACCAAATGATACAAGCCTCAGAAGATATTGTAACAGAGCAAGGAAGCACATATCTAAACCTTGCATTTAGTACTCTCTAGAGTCTGCAAGTCTCTAGAGCTGCGTGTGCTTAAACTAGCCAACTCAAGAAGGGGCCTTCTCAAAGTGAACCTGAAGTCAAAATGTCTTTTTCTTTAGTTTTAAAGTATTATTTATGTAGCAGATCAAATCGATGCAAGACACAAGCGCGAGGTTCAGGTTTGGACAGTGTGTATATTGATACCTTTGACATTAGGTATATTGTATAATGTAATATTTACACACATCTTTTGGTAAAAGCATGAAAAAAAAATAAAATAAAAATTTGCCCTAATGTTGATTAAATTTTTATTTTGTTGCTCAAGTTGCTGCGTAGGTGGAAATTTTCCTACTGTAGTCGATAACGGGGAAGAAGTTTGTTTTGATTACAATAATAGTTCTAAGATATTTGAGTATAAAAGTTATTCAAAAAAAGAAAACACTTACTTCTGATTAGATAGTTGTTCCCTACTTTCGCAATAAAGATGGGTTATTTTAAATCTCATTTTTTCATTCTGTGGTTCTGTCCATCCGTTACAAAAACTTTAATCTTGATCACATCTTTTAAATAAGAAGAGATTGGACTTTCATCTTAAAGAAGTATATTACCTCTGAAAAGACCTTTCTAAATATATTTTGATTTTTGCCCCCGTGAACTTAAAGTTGAACCTAATTAAAAAAAATGAACAATACTTACATGCTATATTTGTAAAATCTTTTGAATAAGAAGAGATAAGGCATTCATATTAATCATATGTTTAATCTGTGACAATACCTTTCTTAAATTACTATGATTTTTGACCTCACAATCTTGACCTTGAAGTTTGACCAACTTTTCAAAACATTTAACTTGGTGATTACTTTTGAATGAAAAGATATTTCATATTAAAACTGCGTAACAAGACCTTTCTAAATGTCAATACACTATGAGTTTTGCTCTTGTTACCTTAACTTGACCTTGATTCTTGACCTATTTTTCAAAACTCTTAATTTTCCTTTTAACTTTTTGATTGAGAAGAAATAATGCTTCAATACCTGGCATGTGCATTACATGTTACGATATTTCCCAGCATGCAATTATTTCTTACCCCTTGAACTGACCTTCAAGATTGACCTTATTTTGAAAAAAAAATCAGCTTTGGTGATGCATATTTCTTTCGAAAGACATATTATACATATAAGGATATGGCCTTTAATTATATTGATAGAATATGCCACAAAAAGGGCATCTCACCTACAAAGACACCAAAAGCGGAGACCACTATTCTTTTAATTTGCTTGCTGGATTACAAAATGGGGATACAAAATGTTTGTATAAACATGAGGAAAGACAGCATCTCTATTTATAATCTTTTTGAGGACATGTTGCATTTATAGTAATTATGAAATCTGTACAGTACATTTCATATGTATCTCTAATAAAAGTTTATAAGAAGTCTTGTTTGTGTTTAGGCAAGAATATTTGCATATATATCAGCTACTCTGTAAATATTTGCTGTTATCAAAGCTTTTGTTGTCATAATATTGTTTGAATATTGATAGTGATATATGTATGTTGTTGAAAAGTTTAAATGTTTGAAGTATTTGAAATAATATTCTATAAAGCTGATTACTTTGTGTACATGTATCAGTCAGTTGGTATCGGAAAGTTTGACCGGAATTATTTAAACATCCGGTGTTTCACTTTGAACTTACAATATCCACACTTCCTTTTTCCATCAATGCCATTAACGAGCAGATGGTTTAGAAATTCAGATGTATTTCAAAATATGGAAAATATTTAAAAGTGAATTTCAGTTACTCACAATATACCCTGGGGACTAAAGTAAGGATTTTTAGTTTTAAGAATCATTACTATTTTGACTTACCCATGGGATGTTTCATTTAGGGTTCAATTTTAAAAAAAATCAAGATTGATGCAGAGGATTATAACTAATACATGTAAATGTGGATTGGGTACAGTAGAGTGTACTTTGTCGATTTTATCTTTGCGGGTAGGACAATTTACCTGTTTAGTATTCCAAGTGCTGGAAAAGTGACACAGTGCTTAAAGACTGGTGTGCTCCGTATACTTATTGAAAGTTCAAAGGTTGAGATGAGAGAAATGGAATCATTAGTCCGAAAGCTCATTTTACTTTTAAAGGCTATCAATTTTATAGTAGGATAATTAGGCATAAAACATTTCAAGAGAGAGCCTCGAGCTCCATAATGTTGTCAGTAATGATCGGGGGGGGGGGGGGGGGGTTGCTGAGTTGACATAAGGTTCTATTCCATACAGATAACATTGCGTTAGTAAACATTCTGAACATTCATCCATTAGGGTCTTCATGAATTATTTTTAATTAGGAAGCTAGTTTTTTAACGGATGTGCATAGTAACATCAAATTTACCGCCAAACATGCCTTGATCATGAATTAATCACATCCGCATTTTACAGTCTGATGTCCAGTTTCGACTATTATTCCAATTCTTAGTTCTTACAGCACTGTAGTAATCTAAACGAGGGCTTAAGACATTATACAAATAGATCAATTTATTGCTTATATATTAACAATATATAAATACCAACCAATATATGTTGGTATTTATAAGAATGAGCAACCCTCTTTAAGTTGAAATCTAAAAGGTTGTATTTCCTTAATATTTTTATACACATCAATTTATAGAGCCTTTTTTTATAAAATAAGATAAATTTAATTTCATGTTTATTTCTCAAAACTTAATCGTTTCAATCACGCTACAAAATTTATTTTACACCTATATATTAATTGATCAATAATCGCAAGTACGTATTAATTTAAGTAAGCAAAGATGATATTCATTAATCAGTATACACTATTCTGAAAACTTTCCTGGAGGTTAATTTCAAGGACCATATTTTGAAATCATATTAAAAACTACATATTTATATTCTGAACTTAATAATATTTGTCTCTCATTAACAATTGCAAGACCAGAGTCATACGAATTTCAAAACCCAGCTCTCTCAATAAATTTCGCCTAGCTTTTGATGAAACAAACCCAGACCTATATTGATATATTATATCTTCATAGGCAACTGCCCGGAAGAAAGTTTTTTTTTCTCTTAATATCTCGGGAATCACGTGACGAGTCTTTCCTATCCTGTTGTTTTTTTTTAATCATTTTCAAGCATATTTAATTTATAATATCTGCTAGACGTCAACTGAAATCATCCTATTCCATGTACTTGAAGTAACAAAATGCCTCACGTGCCTGGAATGGCTATCTTCATTTTGTTTTTGCTGAGACATCTTATTCCGACAAGTGGTTTTGGTATGCTTTTAGTATTTTTTATCATTATTTTTTATTATTTACAATAAAATTGTTTTTTGTGGTCTGATTCCAGATTTTGTCTGTGATATATGAATAATTAAATTATACGTCATAGGGTAAATTTAAAATTGCGAACAATCGTTAACTGTGCTGTAGGACGTACGAAATCAAACAGGATATTAATCTAGATTCTTCAAAACGCATTAACAAGATTATGAAAAACGATACACACTGTCCCATATAAAATTATAAACAGTGTATGAAGAATATAAATATATATTTTAAAACATTTACATGAGCAGCATACAATGTAGGACAAAGGGAAGAAAAAAATAATTCAAGATAATGTTTTAAAAGACATTGTTTTACTATCCTTTATTTATTAATTAAAAGAAGGGAGAATGCATTATACCCACTTAAGCAAAAAGACCGATGTAAAATAAACGATTATGTTAAAATTAATTGTTAATAACCCTTGTCGCTTTTATATCTTGGACATGATCAATAAATCCGTAAGATATACAGACATCTTAAGTTTTTTTTTAAATTTAGATAATTGTTGCTTAATTTGTATGCGCCTTTTATAGTTTTTAATGCAATTCTATATAAAATTTTGCACACATTATGTTATTACCATTCAAAAATACATATCAATTCATGCATCACAATTGTGTTTGCCTTATGTATTCTTTAAAAGTGAAATATTTATAAGTTGGCTAATCGTCACCCTATTATCGAGCTTTGAGCTACAGTATGATTTTAACCGTCGGCCGAAATTTTGGACACCCTTATTGTCGAAAGACGGACGGCCGACTTAATAATTTGACCGCCGATGATCGGACGATGATCGAAGGCGGATTGCTTCAATTAATGAAATCGGCCATCGACGCTGAGAAAATTATAGCGAGCGCAGCGAGCGTCGCGAAGCGAGCTCAATAGACTAACGTGTATAAACAGAGGAAATTCGGATTGAAATCTGTACATACGTCAGCCAAATTTCTCTGTGCAACATTCCCAGAATTCCTGCACTACCCAATGTCCTTTGCGCGAATAAATCAAAAATAGTAAAAAAATTAGAGGAACATTGTTTCTTACCGAAATTTTAACGAAATGATTTTGCCTTACCTTATTCAAAAAAATACCCCCATGCCACAACACCGGCCTTCACCTTGCCCTTCGGAAATGATACAAATGACGTCACCGGAAACTTACGAATTTTGACGAAGTTATGTCGGTTGCTTCCGTGAAACTCGGAAAACATGTTGCGGTGCATAGCAACATGATGGCTAAAACATAGCAGCAACTTACTTGAAAAGAACGATTTAATGCAATCTCTTTTCCATAAAACTAGCGTTTGCGTCCTAAGTCAACAGAACTTTTTGTATGACGTCATACATGTACTTTCGTCACTTCAACGGTTCGGGTATTTCCGATTTTGTCGGAAACTTCCGAGAAGTTTGGAACTCGATCCCGATGCTTGGGAAATGATTTCTTTTTATTGTTTTGTTTTATTCTTTTTGCTTTCTTTTTCTTGAATGATAGACAGTACATGTTAGTGTAGGCTTATGATAGTAAATAAACTGCGCTCGCCCCAACGGTCATACCGTTAAACATATTAACTTGGACCGATCGACACAAAATTGGTCGGTCGACAAAAAAAGAGGTCGAAATCGGGCAAGTTACGGCCGATGAACTGCCGCCTGTCACCTGAAGAAACCTATTTTTGCTTGGAAATGTGACTATGGTTTTACTCGGCACTCAGACCCATTGAGCAGAAA